GCAGGATATTTTGTTTGTTAGGAGAAACATTCATTGTGAAGGCAAAACCAAGCTATTTCTTCTCTTGATAGGGATCGACTTTGTTTGCTTGCTTGTTTTTAATCTCTGTAATGGCCCTATCCATTGACACCCACTTCCTGACTAGGTCATTGTGTTTTATGTACTGCTCATGATTTCCAAGGATTAGATCTCCTGTTGGGGGAAGTACTGTTAAAGGATTACTTGGAAGTCTCCTGTTTGGCTTCTTGTCAGTTAACTTCTGCTGTAATAATACATGTAGAAAGCCGGACACTAAAAATCAAGACAATTCAGTCTTACTGTTAGTTGATCTCTTTCTTCATTTTATGCATTCAGTTGTCAGTATTCTTGTGATGGGAACAGCAAAGTAGGTACAATGAAAAATTTCAGAAGTAAGAAGTATAATGGAAATCAAATTAACTTCAATTGGTCCAAAAGAGAAATAAGTTCAAGGTATTCACAGAGAGAGAAAACATCTTATGTAAACATCATGGATTCTTTTCTTCATAAGAAAGATGTCCAAGATTTAAAGTAATAGTGCAGTTAATGACAATACAAAACATTCAAACTCCTGAATCTTGATTGGGATTAGAAATGGATCTGTAAGAACAAGATGAGAAAGATGTCATGTGCATCAGTGTGAAGTTAGCAAGATCTTTAGCAAGCCAGTGACATTATGCAGATAAGGAAATAGAAATAAAATTTTATAGCATTCAGTCAGTTTGATAACACACATATAGAAGTGACTGAGGAAGTTAGGAAATAATTAACTATTTGTCCAGTTAATTTTGCAATTCCTGAGTCTAAATGTTAATTTAGAGCATCACAGTGTCTTTGACTAAAGTGGAATGAAAAAATTAATAAAAAAAAAATTCTCTTTGCAAAAAATGCAAAAGATACTTAAGTAACTAATTTCTTACACTTATTCAGCTAAAGCAATGTCAAATTAAATGTGACATTTTACAAGAAAGTTATTCCTGGAAAACATCTCACACGAGTTCAAAATAAGTCAGTAAGGAACTGAAGAAAGAAATGTGTGTTTTGATCACTTTTAAAAATGTCTTTTATAATTCTACCACCAAAAAAGGCTTGGAAGACAGGTGTCTTCCCACAATGGTTGTAAATAATATAAACTACTCCCTGTTACAGCCCACCCCAAAAGGTGAGGTAAGGCAGGTTCTTGTTAAGAGATTCCTTGGGGCAGATAAGAGTGAAACAACACTGTCATATGAAATGACACAAATCCGTGTTTGTGAATATACACTTGGAGGGTTTATTTTAGAACAGTTTGGTTGCAATGGGGAGCACATATGTAACCAGTTAGGTTATTATTATATGTAGTAATATAGCAATATAAAAGCATAAAAATAACACTTAAAAAAAAGATGATAAGGAATAGAAAGATATCACCACCCATGGACCTCACAACAAATAGGCAAAAAAAGAAATTTATATTTTATAATTAACTTCATGATCTCATATATGGAAAAAGACGTGATATAGGGAAGAAAGTATTTCTGGTCTTCTGAATACCATTACTGATGTATAAAGATTATTTTTTTAAAAGTTACTTAGAAATACTTTCAGAATAAGATTTTGCAGTATTTGCCTATTTGAGAAATTTAGAAAAAAGTTGATAAATACATAAAAACTCTCCTGTTTTACTCGAAGAGACCGAGACAGTGTGATTTTGTGAACAATATGCAGTATTCTGGAACAAAACTAGGGTGATATCAATTCTAGAGATAACCTCAATCTCATGTTTTAAAATCTCCAATACTGAAATCTTTTACCTGTTTTTTACAGCATAAAATAAAATACTCTGTGTCACAGGAACAAGCCTGCTATTTATGAAATGGGCTTGATATTGAGGGTGTGTAACTTGTCACTGGAATAAGAGTACAAGAAAGGGTGTTAGAATTCCCTAGAGCAAAAATTTCTTTGTGGTAGGAACATTTTTGGAGGATGTAAATGCCAGATTCTTAAATACTTAAGATTCATTATTTGGATCAAGTTGTGAAGAGCACCAAGATAAGAAATGGTTCAATTTTGGCCCCTAAGAGTTTGTTGTCCGCTGCTTAGTAAAGCATCTCATACCTAACTGAGAGTCTTCACAATCCTGAAACATTGGCCAACCATGTCTAAATTTTTCCATTTTACCTAAATTGTTCACACTACTTTTTGCCTGTGACTGTCTGTAGAAAGAAATAGGGAAGCCAAAAATGGAGGAAACAAATAGCGAGAGATGGTTATACACTAGATCAGATTCTCCAGAAATATCTGCCTCTGGGAGTAGGCAAGTTTTAGGAAAAATATTGGGCAGTGGACAGAATCCTAGGTGATATCTGTTGCCAGGATTGTAAGTCAGTAAGTTCTATTTCTTTGCTCTTTCATGTAGAGTAACTTGTACAAAAGTGGCATGCTGTAGAAGGGACAAAATAGTTCTGATCTGCATTATTTAATGAACACAATTTTGAACATTTCCTTTTTTGAAAAATTTTAAATGGGGTCTAAAGTTAATATTTTGACACAAACCAAACAAATCTTTTCTACACAAAATCTCTGTTAAGGAATACATATTGATATTCCAGCACCATTAGTTTATTACTATGACTTCTTTAGAACTACAGAGTATTTCAATTTATTATTAATAACATTGCCATTTATTATTGCAGTGAATTTGTTAAACACAAATAATTGCTATAGACTAGATTGCTGATTGTTTAATTATGAAGCAAGGATATAAAACAATAGTTAAGTTACTAAATTGGTTTATTTTGCATTTCTGTGTAGTTCAATCCGATGTTTTATTGGAATTAAAGGGTATTTTACAAATGAATTGATAAAGCCAAGATATATAGTTTTCTCATGGATTTTGTCTATGTCATATTATATGAGAATAAAACTCATTATCTGTTTTGTTTGTACAGTAATTATATTTCGTTGTCCTGTGCATTCCTTTTGCTCACTCCATCTCATAATACGTGCTGTAAAAGCACACATAAATAAATAGGATAAACAAATTAAGCTGTTTAAATAAATTAATTTACTCTGCAGCTCTGTATTCAAATCTTATGTGCTCACTGGATTTCATTTTAATGAAACCCTTCTAAGAACAATACATTGTATGCCAAACAGTGAAATTATATTTTAAATGAATGATTAAATATACCGTGTTCTAATTTATAACAAATCTGTACACTGTGCATGCTTAAATCCTCCTAAATCTAAAGAAATAAATCTTCTACATTCTGAAAACATCTGCATTATAATCCTCCTCTTGAATACCCAGTTCATGGACATATAAACACAATCAAAGTCATAATAAGCCTAGAGCTATGATGCAGTTAAGCTATCCTCATCAAGGTTTTTGACTTAAAAACCTAAGACTGTTAAAGTGGAATCCACTTAAATGTCTTGCAAATTGCTCTAAAAAATCTCCTCCCACTCCATCAGTATGCCCATTGAATCCCTTTGCAATCAGAATCTCAAGTTCAGCAGATACTTTTTTATGAAACTTACCTTGAACAAATCTATTGATTACTATAGTTGAGGATGTTGCAAAATTTCTTAGGAATGCATTCAGAGAAATAAATATTTATCTAGTGACTGTGCATGATAAAATAATGACTGCTCAAAAAGAACTTTTCTGTGTAAGGAATGTACTGCTTTTTTCAAGAAAATGCATTTCCAACAACGAGTTTTCTTTTGTGTTATCAAACATGTACTAATTGTATTACTTCATTGCCAAAAGCTTTTAGTGAGTTGAATGTGTGCAGTTGTTTGTTGATTGGTGGTTTGGGCTCATTGGTTTTTTTTCATAATAAGTCAGGTTTTCAGTTATCAAAAGGAGAAAAACAAGAAAAAAAAAAAGTTAGATTAACGTCTTCAATCCTTCCAATAGATTTCCCTTATAGGATTTAATTATTTTTATCACTGTTTTTCCAAAACAGCCTCACTTTCACATACTTTAGCAATGAGCCTAGAGAACTTTCAGCAATTAAAAAGAAACTTCAGGGAAAGACAGCGAATTTTCTAGAAATAACTATTCTGCACTCATCTCCCTTTGATTATTGTTTGTGTCAAACTTCTGGGTAAATATCAGATATATCTGTCTGCTACGTACTAACAATTCTCACATAGCAGATATGCAGTGCAAACTATCACGGTCCTTACATTCTGGTTTTCAAAACCAAGGAACCTCTTGAAGTGCATCGTAGCTCCTCTTGGCTACCCTGCCAGGCCTTTCCCTGGACAGAAAAATATGATTGGTTGTTTTCCCCCATTTTGAAGTGATATGGCCACATTCAACCAAAATGTGTGATTCATTCCAAGTTTGTGTTCCATGGTAAAAATAGACATTTGGACTTACAACAGTCATGTTACTGGTATAGGTACTATAGGGAGGTTATAGTTTCTTTCTGATCCCTAACAGTTCCGTAAGATTTCATTGCTCAAGAAGCCTCTTTGAAATTAAAATATGAAGTAAAAGTCAATATGAGATAAAACAACAGTACCTGGGTTTTTTTTTATTTACAGAAATACATAGGCTACCATCTGTAAGCCAAAAATGTATGCTTCCAATTCAACTGCATGATGACACAAGCAACAAAAACAAACCAACCAACCAAAATGCAAAAAACCCAGAAAAACAAAACAAAGCAAAAAAAACCAAACCAAAAAGCCAAACCAAAACAACAACAACAAAAAGGTGAACAAACGTCTTATTTTTTAAGTAGTCCAGAAAGCAGTTAAAAGCCTAATAGGATGAGCAGTGCTTACATTGCATGCTGAAATGTAAGGTCTAGTGTCCTAAAATTGCCAAGTTTCCTTTGAGAATGCTCTGCAAATCCTGGAAACATCAGCAGGGAATGAGTAGGTTGTAATTTAGGAGGGAGATTCAGTTTAAGGAAGTGATGTTTGGAAACAGGGGCTTGGTTTAACATTGCCCTTTTTTTGCAATGATTTTTTGTGTGGTCTAGGAACGTGTTCCAGACAGCCCTTCTCCTGCTCCTTCTCTTGAAGAGGGCCGAAGACCTGGCAGCCATCCATCCTCTCATCGAAGCAGCAGCGTGTCCAGTTCTCCTGCACGGACCGAGAGCTCTTCAGACAGAATCCGTAGGTCCCATTCTTCTCCTTCTTACCATTGTAAAACTGATGAGGTGCAGCTTGTTTTTCTGGTCAAAATGCCCTTGCCTTAAATAGATCTCATATGCCTCTTGTTCAGAAGTTCAGCTGCAATAACTATCTCCTAACATGTTCCCCAGTTTATAGTATCATCATATCTGATGCTACATTAACAGGTACTGATATAAACTGCCATCATGTCATCTTAAACATAAACATATGAGCAATGAAATACAGAATTGCAGGCAGGGAGCAATTTGCTAGATTAGTTTCAGAACTATACATATAGCGTAAACATTTTTAAAAGAAATTGAATTTTATTTAATCTGGTTACTCGGATTTGATTTCTATATTGAATCTGACTTCATAAGCAATATTTTATGTGGTAGAATTGCTTGGTGAAGAGAAGAATTGAGTTAAATAAATTAAAAATGTGCATTCTTTATAAATTTTTTAAATGCAAAATTTTTTTTTAATGTGAGAAATATGATAGAATGAATATTATCACCTCATAGCTCACAGGGGACAGATTGAAATTAAACTGTGGTGTCCCACAGTGATGCCATTCTTATCAAAGTTCCATATACAGGATGCAAACTACATGACAAAGACTCTGAATTCTGTGATATTCCAGTGCAGCAATGGAAATTAAGGTTTTAAATGCATACTATTTTATGGCTGTGTACTTAAATTCATATTACACTTGTCCATTCCCTTTAATACTGCTCTGTTGCAGGTTTTTTGTGTGTTTAAATTGTCTTTCCACAATGGAATTTGTCAGTAAGTGAAACTGGAGGGTTTGGTCGCATAGAAGGCCATGAAATAGCTGTATGAAATAGGTGGCCATATCGATTAGATGCAACACGTGTCCTTTAGGCTGCTTCTTTTCAGGCTCTCCGTAGACTCAGGAAGCTGACTCTTCATTGACCTTCAGATGAGAGAGCTTTCATTAGTGTGTGATGAAAAATGACTTACCAAAGAAAAGAAATGAGGCCTGACTATGACAAGCTGAAAATTCTGTTTTCATATCACTTGGACAATTCAGAGAGCAGATTAAATTGGCATCCCATATCCTGTGACCTGTGTATTTCCCCAGGCTGGACTCACAAGCCTTTCATTATATTTTCTTTCCATTGTCCAGTTGAGGAGTGGGAGTGATGGAGTGGCTTTGGTGGGCACATGGTGTCCAGCCAGGATCAACCCACTGCAGACTTCATAAGTGAAGATCTGAAAAAACCCCTCACAAATGTGGAATTAATTTTTTTCTTAATTGATTGAATAGTGTATTTGTTTATAACTGAGGAAGACCTTTTCCATTATTCTCTTTAAAAAAACCTAAAACAACAAAACATCAGAAACCCCAAAAATCTTAACTGAGAGATACTTATTGTTTTTGCTAAGGAATTGCTCTTTAAAAAAAAAAAAAAAAAAAGGAAATTGTACTGTTCAGCTTACTCTGTAGTTTGCAGAGAGGACTGGGACCTTTGCACATTTCTTTCTTCTATGTGAACATAACAGAGTTCCTTGAGTAGTGGATCACTTCAATAACTTATAAGTTAATTTAATTTTTATAAGTTAATTATTTTCTGTCCTATCTGATTTGTTAACATCACACCTGATTCCTAAGTACATCTTTTGTGGTGCCAGCCAGAATAAGATGACTACTACAGGAATATGGATTCCATATTAAAAAAACCAAAAACTAAAAATGGCATAAACCTCTTGAAAAAACAATTTTTTTCAGAATAAAAGCATAGAAATATGAGTTTCTGAGGTGTGTTTGAGACTCATGAAGGTCTCTGAAAGCTGTTGGACAGAGCTTTTCCACCTGTCTGATGAGCAAATAAGCAATTCTCCTTTCCACAGAATATATGTAAAAACAGTTTATCACCTGAAAGGCCACAATGCTTCATTTAAGGAAGTTATTAGGGACTGCATATTGGGAATGTTGGTACTCAAGCATTTTTGTACAATGAACTAAAAATTTAACAAGTCTTGTTAAATAAGCAAGAATATATTTGCAAGTCTCCAACTTTATCCAAAGTTACTGAACTTTCTTTTTAAAATTGATTGTTTTAAACTAGAAATAACAGGAAGAAACCTTTCCTTTATGTGGATCCTGATAGCACTAATTCAGTATCTTTGTGACTGTTAGAATTCTTGTATAATTAAGAGGAAGACTATGTAAAATAAGTAAAAAAGAGTATTGTTAATATGACAGCTGATTTCTTTCTCCCTGTGCTTGTGTCTAGCAGCTGTCCATCAGAACGGGCTCTCTATGAACCAAATGCTGATGGGTTTGTCACCTAATGTCCTGCCTGGACCTAAGGAGGGTGATCTGGCTGGTCATGATGTGGGACATGAGACAAAAAGAATACACATTGAGAAAGGTAACATGAATGTTATAATTCTGCTGCTTCAGTGTAAAACAAGTGTTGTCTTGGTAGCTAAATATAATTGTGATTTTTAATTTCTTAATTGAGATTTTTCTTTTGTTGATTTTTTTTCAGTTTCACAAATCAAATTGTAACAGGAAGATAACTTTCATTACTGTTCTATTTTGTCATCTCCAAGATTAATGAATATGTATATATATGAGGGAGAAATTTCATCAATATTGTGAAGTACGATGAGTGAAAAACTGTTTTGCATTATTGTTGTCACTCTGACCCTTCTGCAGCACTGTTTAGGTCTGTCTCTGTCCAGTTGACTTTAATGACCTACTTCCCAGAGGGACTGAGCACCGTGAAAATTAGTCCATGTGTGCAAAAACGAAAAAGGCTGATACCAAGCCATTAAATTAGGGAATTGCATAAAATTAGGCTGGTATACATTATATAATGGGATTTAAATTTAATTGAGTATATGACCAAAGTGTTTGATCTAGGTGAATAGTCCACATGCGCTTATGCTGATTATGACACCATTTCATCTCTGCTGGTATTCAAAGTCAAGTTCCTGTTCAGGGCTCTTACAGGGGATTTTGGTGAGGTGGTGTGGAATTTTGAAAGGTGCATTTTATGTTTTATTTGCTTAATATATATGAATTTTAAGTCTTATAGACTGGAAACATCTTTTTAAAGAGAGGCTTAAAAAGAAATGCATGCTTTGAAAAAAAATTCTTCAAGCTTATGAGAAAAGTCAGTTCTTTGAGCACAACAAGAGAAAAAGGTACAACCACTCGTTGAAACAGAGCTGGAGAAACTGCTGTAGCTATGAAGATTTCAGAATAAGACATTTTGTGACATATTTAAATAGCTATAAGGTGATACCTCCTCTGTCTTGTGTTTGAACACTGAGATATGAAAAGGAATTAAAACCTGGACAATTCTGTTCTGGACAGGTGGTGTTTTTAATAAGATTACCTGAAAAATTAATGGAAACAACATTTCTTTTATATAAACCATTTAGTTTGGTTCATTGCACACACAACCTGTTTTTGCTTACACTATGCCCTTACTCAGCCTCTGCAAATTGTATCCCTGCTGTGAAGTATGATGTGATCAAATAGGTTTGTTTTGAATTTCCATAAATGATTTTATTTCAGCCTTTGAAGTTACTTGTTTAACTGTAATCCGACTGGTAAGTTCTGCAAAGAGAAGTACATATTAAGAATGGCAACACTTTTGCATGTCATTTAGTTTTTTAAAAGTTTTTTTTTTTTTTATTATGCTATCCCAAATGTATTTTCCCAGTCTTTGCAAGATCTATTCTCAGTTAAAGTGCTGAGAATTCTCTTTTTTCCTCAGTCCTGTTGAGGTCAAACCTCCTTTTCTCCTTTTTTTTCTTTTCTTTTTTTTTTCTTTTTTTTTTCCTTGTTTTTCTTTTTGTTCTTTTTCCCCCGCTCTATTCCAGCTACTGAATTAATGGTAAATATTCATGGTCTATCTAGATTTATAGGAGTTACTAAATTAAAAATTGTTTTCTGTCATGACTACATTTATCATGTCTCTCATATCAATCTTGTAACTTTAGTACTAATCTAATCTGTATTAAAACAAGTGATTTGACTTACAGATATTTGTGGATATAGTAATTATCTAGTTTTGTCACTGTGAGCTTGCAGTCAGGTTTTGAAAATGTTGTACCCCTGGAAATCAGTCAGACTGTGACCATATTTAAAAATGCTAACACACATGCAGGTGGTGGCACTTTTATTGTTAAAACATCATTACCTTCATCAGCTGAGAAGGAGAGGAGAGGAGAGGAGTGGAGAGGAGAGGGAGAAAAGAAAAGAAAAGAAAAGAAAAGAAAAGAAAAGAAAAGAAAAGAGAGTTAGTTCTAAATAAGTATGAAGCATTTAAAATTATTGTGTTTTCTTCTAAGATTTCTGTTGGCAGAGATATACTAGGTACAACTAAAATGTCTTTTACTAGAACCTGGGAGAACCTAGAAAATTCTTACTGGTAAAGGAGGCCCTGTCTTTTCTCTTTTTTTTTCTTCCATTAAAAAAATTAAAAGGTGAAAAATCTCTGAAGTTATCTGAGATCAGGGAGAATTTATTTACAGTCAAAAGACAATTTAAAGGGGAAACAAAGTAATAACAGAGGTAACTGACCAACATACCAAATTTTGAATGTCAGAGAGGTGAATCATTTGTTTGACCTGATCCATGAGCTGGATATGGGAAAAAAATGCCATTTACCTGTTAGAAATATAGCACAAAGGAGCTAATTTACCCAGTCCACACAACATGGTGTAATACATTTAGAAACAGTTCACTGGCATTGGCAAACTGAATAAGTCTTTCTAAGATCATCTGTATTCCTATTCAAAATCTAGCAAGAATTACTATTAATGACAAAAATTAGTTTATTTTATTAGAGTGGTTCAAGCTACCAGTGGAGGGGTGGGGGGGGTTTTATTTTGTTTTGTGGTTTTGTGGGTTTTTTTTTTTTTTTGTTTTGGTGTTGTTGTTGTTGTTTTGCTTTTTTCCTTTTTTGTTTTGGTTATTGGGTTTGTTTTGGGTTTTCATTTGTTTGTTTGTTTTGTTTTGGAGTTTTTTTTATTATTTGCTTTTAGACTATCTTCAAAATATATTTTCAGGTTCTGGTATGGGGAGTTCTGAGTGACCTTACCTTCCTTTTGGTGTCATAACAATAACCTGAGTCAGGTTATTGTTATGACACCAAAAATCAAATGAGGATCTATGGATCTGTCTGTTAAAACTAGAAAGTTCATGTCAGGCTCTGGATGATTATCTATTGCAGGAAAACGGGAAGAGTTTCAGTTGTCAATGGCCATATATAAAACATGGGTGTTGGGGACATTTTCCAGCTGCTTAATCCAGGTGTCCAGCTTGGCTGCATCCTAGCTTCATGCTGGGTCAAGACACGTCTGAAGTTCCACTCATTTCCTGAGTTCCATAGGAAGGATACTTAGGTTTGCTAGGGCTCTGTTGTGGTCCAGTAAGGTTCCAGTCTGGACATGGGAGGACAGCAGAGCACTGCTGCCTCACAGTTCATACATCACTCAATATGTCATCATCTGTACCACAAGAGATCAATTACCCTAGATTTCCAAAGTTTCTTTGCTTATTAGAAGACAGCAGCATTTCCAGTTTTACTGAAAGAAGGCTGTAGAACTGCAAATGGTCCTGGGAAGAATGAGGTAAGTTTGAATACACAATGTTAGTTCAAGTGCTTGACACCAAAACCAAGCATCTAATTTTGTAATCTATAATTATGGACTCTTTGATGATGTTCATTTGTTTTTATTGAGTCAGATTTAATGAGAAGGGCTTATGTGAAGTATGGGATTCATATTAGAAAAGGTCCATGCAGTTTTCTGTGTTAAGACTTTAAGTCTTTCCAAGTTTCTCTGACACGAAGAGTCTAGTCCCTCAGTTTTGGTGAGGTACATTTCATCACTTGTCCTTTTCAGCTTACATAGACATCCTGCAGACCTCCCAATCTGAAGCTTTGAGAAGCAGATTTTTGGTGGTTTTTATGGAGCTGAATACCTGTTCAGCTCTTCAGTAATGTTATCTGTTAAGGATAGGAAAGAGGAACTAGTGGAGAACATAAAAGACTAGACTGCTGAATCCTGATCCTCTTTTTGCTCAGTGATCTGAAGTGTTTCAAAAAAAGAGAGTTCAAAATAACCAATGGCTTAGAAGTCAAACACACTGTACTTGGAGATGTGGAGCACATTTCCTGAGCAGTATCCTTAATCACTGTGCTTTTTGTAAAAGAGGGAAGTATATTTTAACGTCATCCCTTTACCCTTACAACCTGGACTCAGGTCGTATTTGGTCTGCAAGGTGTAATTTATAGCTCAGTCCTGCTGACAGTGTTTGTCGGCTTACTAGCTCCAGGTAGCTGCATTCAATTTTTTTGGGTCATGTTGGAGGCAATGGCTGCTCGTAGCACCCCCTAACTGATACCTGCCTAGCAATACCTACTGTGTACTCTATAAAGGCGTGTAAAACTCAGCTCACTTCAGCCCAAGATTCCCTTATGGGGGACAGCTACTGAAAAGTTAGTTGCTTTAACACCAAATTTAGATGCTTAAGTGTTTTATTGGATCTGGCCTTAGGGCATGAGATTATAATTTTCTGTCTCCATCAATTTGGGGTTTTTTTTAGATAGACACCAACAGCAAATGAAGCCTGAATGTCATGTTTACATTTTCAATGGAATATGTTATTTGAGATGTTATGGGAAGGACACTCTCTTGCTGAAAATATGCATGCGGTTTTCTATGGCAAAATAGAAAATACTCACCATGCTCACAAAACAAGTTAAAGTATTTCTTTCAGAAGAGCTTTAAACTATGATATTAATGGAAATTCCACAAGTAATTTTCTGGTAATCAACAATAACTTCTTCTTGACAGCAGCAATGAAGGTATAATTTTATCAAATTCACATATGAAAAAGTCCCTTGGTTTGTCTTTCTTTTTATTTTATGTACCCCTGTAGAGACAACATCAGTCTTAGACCTTTGGCTAATATTTTATAGAAGAGAATAATAAAATTTCAAAGAATCCTCAGTTAAAAATAGAAAATAATTTAAATATTCCAGAGTTAGGATTGGATTTTCCTGTTAGCATTCATGTATCAAAAAGGGGACTAATGGCAAGTAGGCCATCCTATATAGGTAGATATTCATTCTGTATTATCAGCAGTAAATCCTCTTACAAGGCACACACAATGTAAATATACATGTAAATATACATGCTTATTCACCTTAACAAATACAGAAATACATATGAATATGTTTCTATAAATATGAAAGACTCAAAAGAAGTTTTAGCATCAACACCATTCTCTTCAACCTGAGCTGTTCTCTAATAAAGTCATCAAGCAAGTGATCCAGACCTCTGCTTAAATTCTGTTTCTGGTTTGTTACGATTTTAGTTGGTTTTCTGAGGAAGCCCTTTTTCAAGG